CATTTGCTTGGTAAACAATACATTTAAGTGCCTTTGGAAAGCACTGAAGGACCTCGGCTCTTGGTCTGTAGTTCACTGCCTGCATAAAAGAGAATTAAAACCAGCACAATAACAAACATTTAGAGCCTTTTAGACATGCATATAGTTTACGCTGTCATGCTAATTACACTGGCGCCATGTCTCAGGCAAAAAAGGTCTTTCCTGAACACAGGTCATGTCACAAGGGAGTTTGCAAAGCATTAAGTACTAAACTGAAAGTTTAAAGGCTTGATTCTGATACTTCTTTTGTTGAAATGTGTTTAGATATTATGGGCAGAACACAGGCAAATGCTTTGTTGAGAACATAAACGCTGTGTGTGATCATCCCCGTGTGTGACATCAATGCCCAGCTAAATATGAAATCTCTTTTATGAGCCATGAGGAGAAATTAATGTGCAACACTGCGAGTTAACTAAAACAAAAACAGACTAACAACCTATATAACTAATTAGCTAATTAATATTGTAATGATGGTCTGAGCTTATTTTTCTAACTCTAACTTTTCCACAGGGGACCTGCAGCAAATATGCAAAGATTAATACAAAAAAGGTTTGAAAATAAATAAATAATATGATACAATATGATATCACAATCAAAACTGACAAGAACAATCCTCTTCCTTAATATTTAAAAATTAATGGACATGCAACATAATCTTGCATAAAGAATGCTGTCATAAATTAAAGCAAAATATTTACGTTTAAAACTTAAATGTATTCAAATAATATCATTAGAGTAAAATATAATATAATATAATGATATTAATAATCCATTTTATTACTAGAAAAATAAAATGAACAAATGCTGCGTGCAAATGCAATTAAAAGACAGAAATAATCAGAATAAAAAAAGGTAGAAAAATAATACTGCAGAAAAAAAAAATTCTGATGTTATGAAATGCAAGAGATTTGGTGCCATGATACTAAATGTATGCTACCTAAAAAAAAAAAAAAACTTTGTACATATACATATGTAAAAGTATATCCTAAATATTAAAAAAAATATTGTACACCTTATATTCAGAAATCTTTAATCTTAATCAGAATAAAGTCTAAGGCTTTGAATTTGTATTAAAATCAATATAAGAAAAAAAACAAAAAAAACAAAGAGCTATAAACAAAGTAAAAAAAAGTTCCCAGAACTGGAAGTGAGAAATTACTTTCTAAAATCTCAAAGAGATAAGTGCAATATACACACATTCATTCTTATGAAAGATGGAGGAATATTGAAAAGCAGTTACGCACTTCAAAAAGAGCCTGAGAATAGAAGTGTTGGGCAGCTGCCTTTCATTTGGATTTTTTCACCTTTGTTTCAATCCGTAGTTTAAGAGCGTCCAGCTGCAGAGTTCTTCAGCAGGTGCCATCTTCTTAAAAGCATTGGAAAGTGTTAAAACTGCTACTCTACAGTGTCTCATGTTCTATTCCTGTAGCGCCAATCCAGCTGCTCGAGTTCACACAGGTGTGGGAGTGTGTGCACGAGTGTGAACTCTACAGCTCAACTCTATAGCACTGAATATTCATTGTTAAGAGCCATAATCCATCTCTATCTTTCTCCAATACTGTGCATTCTCATGTTGTTTGCCAGTTTGATACATGCTGATGCTCTTAGCAAATATAAACACATCAGCCAGTTCTGATCGTACAGAGAGTGGCTTAAACCTTAAAGGGATAGCTCACCCAAAAATGAGCCATCTATAATTTACTCACCCCCATGTTGTTCCAAACCTCAATGACTTTCTTCTGTGGAACATAAAAGGAGTTGTTCACACATTGTTGTACACAATACTTTTGTATGGCTTCAGAAGACACAGAATATAATTTACATATCTTATGAATTACATTTGTCATGATTTTTTAGTTTACTTACATTGGATGGAAAAGAACGGTCAGGATATTTAGAAAAAAAAAATTCCTTTTGTGTTCCACAGGAGAAAAAAAAAGACATTTGCTTCTTATTGTAAAAACAACACCAAACTTTAAGGTGGTTCTGATGAAGTGGATAAAACTGTACTAAACTGTAGTGATAAAACTGGTGACAAATGCCAGTTTAATAGCAAAAATAACAATATTAATAAATAATAAAAAAATGTAAGAAACTTAATTAGATATTAGTTTTGTCATACGTAAATTACACCTAAATTATATTCTAAGATTTTGTTTTATGACAAAAACGTTAAAATAAAAAATATAAAAATCTACTTCAAATAAATGTTATTTATTGTTTATTTATCATTATTGTTTATTGCTATTTATTTATTATTTAAAAGAATGCTGAAAAAATGTATCAGTTTTCACAAAAACACCAAGCTATTTTAATAAAATTAAATATTACTTTATTTTTGATGAATGCTTTTAAATATTTTTCAATAAAATGTAAAAAAATACAAAAATAAAAAAATAAATGATACAGACTTCAAACTTTGTATTTTATTCGCTATTTATACTTTCCAAAAAATAAAAAAATACTCTACACTTAAAACTTCCAAAAACCTCTATGGTGGCAGGCAGGTTTTTTTTTAAACAGCAGTTTTGAAAATAAAGCTTCTTCTATTTTGGAAGTTATTCGTTTAGATTGTCAGAGGAAAATTTGTAAATTAGATTTACAAAATATCAATGTGTGATGTCTTTGACTTTCAGTGACTCTCTCCCGCTCTCACACACACAAACCCCCTCATTGAGCTCACAGTTTGGGATCTGTTCAAATGCTTTCTCGCCTTTCACATAATTTGCCCTTTTGCAAAGGCACTAGGTAAGAAAGCAGCACAGATAAGTGGAATAATGGAGAGATTGAAATAAAGAGAGCGAGAGAGTAGCGTTAGCGGTGTAATTGAGAGAGAAGTGCTGATAAGAGCTCAACTCAACCGTCGCACCCTAAACCAGTGTCCTGTTTCAGCCCTCCCCTCCGCTCCTTTCTTCCCCTCTCCTCCGCTTCTTTCTCTCCTGCTCTGCTCCACTGACTACATGCTACTGGAGTTAACTGATAACTTGACGGCTCCATTGACTGACTCCATCTACGCGATGTTGGTCTTTTTTCCCCCCCTTTCATCTTTTCTTTTCTTGAAAGTGTGTGCGAGTTCACTTCGAATACAAGGAGCTCTTTGTTGACGCGTACTGTACATGTACACTGAAACCTTTATGCCAAAACAGGTATAGAATTTGCTTTCTGCCTGAGAGTAACCCACAAGAATAATGTCCCACTTAACAGTGAAACACTCCTTCAGCGGGTCATTCCTGTAATCCAAACATTTGTAAGTGATGGAGGCCTCCACCGGGGTTCAGGTCCACCAGCTGGTGTTTAAAGGGTGGACAGCGAACGAGGGAATGATCTGAGGAGAAAGCTGGGTATCAATGCTCACAGGGGTTTGTAATTTGTTCTGTTTATTTACCCACTCTCCTGCCCTCGCCCGTGTCTCTTTCTCTCTCCCTCTGTGTGTCTCCTGCCCTCCAGGCTGGGCAGGTTATGTCTGTATGAGCTAAGAGAGGAAGGAGAGGAAAAGCTGACTTTAGCCAGACAAGGTTAATTCTGTTTTCCTTTCCTCTGTCACTGCCAAGAGAGGGAAAGAAAGGAGGAAAGACAGAAGAACACAAGATAAAATAAACAATAGAACAGACAAAAACAGAAAACCGAAGTTCTGTATAGGAAAAAAAAAAGTTTTTGAGATTCTAAATTTTGATTTGGATGAGCTGCATCCTTTTAACCGTTACTTGGTGTTTATTCCATTTATTAGCATTACTATTTTTAAACATAATATTTTATTATGTTGCCATTTCTGCCATTTTGTTAAAACAATTAGGCTCATGACTAAGAACACCACCTACCATAATTATTTACCAAAAACTAAGTTCAAGTTTTCATTTAGCTAAAAACTGAAATCAAAAATAAAGTTTTGGTAATTGCATTTGGGTAACTAAACTAGGTATGCTGTGGGTATGATACATTAAACCAGTCATAGTGAACTTTCATTACAGAAGTGTTGTATTTTATTTTATTTTTTATTTTTTTGTACCATTACCATCAATTACCATCACTAGTAAAATAACTGTAAGATGATTTCTCATGGCATATTTCTATAGCAAATGAAAGCAATGGAATATTTATGTAGCAGAAAGAAAGAAAGAAAGAAAGAAAGAAAGAAAGAAAGAAAAAGAAAGAAAGAATTATTTGTACAAAGATGGGACAATTTGTTTTGATTATTGAACTCATCTCTCAAATGATATGCCACAGCCACAGTCATTCTATGAGAAGTGACGTTTATGGCAGAGCTAATGCCAATGTTTTACAGGAAGTTGATCTGGACCAGCTCAGATGAAATTATATCAATATAGCATAAATAAGGCATGATATGTACTGTAATATTTGAACTCTAAAAGGAAATTACATCAGAACTGCTCGATACATTTTGGGTAGAGCAGAAGAGTTTTTTTTTTTTTTTTTTCTGCATTGGGAAGCTTGGTGTTTTAGCCGTGCATAAAATAGAGAATCAGAGATAGTGTCTAGTCACTATTAAAAAAAGCATAAATCAGGACAAATAATGACTCATGCCTGAGTCTTCTGAAGTCATGTGATAGCTTTGTGTGGGCAGAAAAACTGAAATTTAGGTTGTTATTCAGGGGAAAATTCACAATAATCCAAGTTTTACTCTCCATGGAATTTTGGCATCAATACTGACAAAATTTACATTTATGCATTTGGCAGATGCTTCAATACAAAGCAACTTGCAAGAGTGCCATGCTCAACATGTTCGAGCTACAGGAATGACGTCAATGTGTCTTTATTTAAAGCTTTGACGGAGAAAGAATATGACTGAAAACAAGTATGTTTAAGTCTGTTCTTCACACTAAGCTACTGTATAATGTGGTATTACAGGAAATAATGCACAAATCAGATAGATAGCTTTTACAGTTTTATAGCTGTCCTTGGAAAGAGCTGCATACAAAATTATCTTTTTGTGTTGCATAGATGACATGACATGAGGGTGAGTAAATGATGACAGCATTTTTATTTTTGGATGACCTACTCTATTAACTGTGCTGTGAATTACTTGTTAAGAGGGAAAGCTGAATACAAGTTTCACTGATTTACTGTGCTGATAAGCAATCGATCCATTAATTAGTCCGCTTCCTCTGTTCCCAGCCCTCTGCTTGATTTAATGTCAACAGGAACCACGTGTGATGCTGTTGATGAGAATGTCACATATGAGCCAAACTACTGAGATACAGATCTGGACAGAAATCACAGGGTGGTATCCTAGACCTACATGACACTGCCCTCTTAATGACAACTCCGGAACAATTCCCAGAATGGGAAGAGACTTAAATGCTTGTCACTGACCTTACTTTGAATGATTCACCCATATTTGAGGTTTTCATCCATTTTTTGTATTGATCAAAATGTCATAACTTGGCTACTCACTTGTGTAAGCTTGACTTTAAAGTTCACTATCATGTCATTTGAAACCTGTATAACTGACTTTTCTTTGTAAAACACAAAATAATAAAATAAAATATTTCAAAGAATGTTTAAATTGTTTTGTCCATATAAAGTCAAAGCAGTCCAAAGAAACACTGAGGCCCATTGACTTCTACTGAATGGAGAGAAAAAAAAATCAAAATATCTGAATGTATTCTCTTTAATACATGTCTAGAAATTCTCTTTAATATGTTGTTTGATTAAAAGGAGCTAAAATAATTATCGCTCTGTAATTGTTGTAAAGACTTTTCAAACAATATAAAAGGAGGACCTGGGTTTAAGAATATATAAAAAAAAAGAATTGTAATGGTCAATAAAACGGTAGACAGAACGCACAAAAAGAGAAAATAGATGACTGAACGTATGCACGGCATACCGTATTCTTCTGCATCTGTTTGGGCCTTGTGTTTTCATTCTGTCAGCGAAAACAATGGTGCAGAAACAGACCTGTATGAAAACGACAACTATATTTACCCAGCATTCTATCATATAGACACACGGCACATTCCTCAGCAGTGCTTTTGTCATAGTTGGCACACATATCAGCGGCACAGGCTGTTTTCTCAAACTTGGGGAAAAAGAGAGAGGAAGTAAAGTACAACTGAAAACAATGACATTACAGAGGGAGAGAGAGATGAAGGGCCGAGGCTTGAGGGAGTGATGTGGATTTCAACAGGAGGGAGAGGAAGGTGTTTAACTGTGCTCCTGCAGATAAGCAGTGATTAAAGAGCGTACCGGAACACTGCATGTGTCGGCGCAGTCAAACTTGCTCTTCTGTCTTCATTGGCCTAATGGTTTCACTCGGGTCTCGTTGGGGGAATGATGCCGTTTCAACATGAAACTCCAGATGTTCTAATCTGAAACTCTCTCCTGGCCTGAGAAAACCTGAGGGAGGCAACAGAAAAAAGCAGATCATCAGAAAACTAATGACGGCGTGTCAGAACACAGCTGTGACCCGTGAACTCTTAATTGCTTAACTATTTCCTATTCGCCCCACCTCAATTAACCCAGCAAACTGCACATGATTGAATGAGTGAAGCTCACAAACAAGCAAAAAAAGCTTCTTATTTTTATTCCGCCCCATCATTACACTTCCTTCCGATTATTTTCACTCGCTCTCGTCTAGATTGGAAACGATGTGTTTGAAATAGTCCTGCTGAAGACTGAGGCAGCTGTTCTGAGGTGGCCTAAATTCTTTCAAGGATGTTACCACACACGCATTCATTAATGCACATGAACGCATTCTGACCCATGCAGAAATTATAGTTTGCGGCCAATGTGCATTACATAATCACTTTAGAAAAGTGTGTTACTTTTTCAAAATACAGGTAATACTCCTCAAAGCCAACCATAGAGCTTCAGCCAACTAACATTGAGAAAGGTGATTATTTAATATAAACATAATTATTCTCAATTTAAAAATAACAGTATTGTGTTACTTTTTTTATGAGTGATGCAACGTAGGTTACTGAACTTCATCACTGATCATCCAGCATAATGTTTGAGTTTGCCAGACTCCATTATAAAATATAACTGCTGCTAGGGATAGTTCCCCCAAAAATGAAACTTCTGAATTAAAAAAAAAAAAGAAAAACATACTGGTTTGGATTTGGGATAAAGTGGGGGTGAGTGAATGACAACATAATTTTTATTTTTTTGGATGAACTTACCAGGCAAGGTAATTGTTCAGTTAAATAAGAAAGAAGCAAACTTTCCACAAGTGGAGTATAAAAGACAGACACAGTTAATGGTTTTAAGTCATTCAAATAACAAATCCATGTTTGTTTCAAAGGGCCGACGATAAAAAACAGAGAGTTGAAACTTTGCCTGCATTAAATAAACACTGAAAAACAGAAGTTGCGGCTGTGCAAACAAACGTTTGGCTAGAGATATGGACTGATGAAAGATAAGAGTGTTTCAAGTTCACACCGGTTTTCAAGCTGTTTGTTTCTTTGCCTCGGAGTTTGAAAGAAAGCACTGTATGACTGGAGACATGGCACAAGAACAAGACATGTTCATGATGATTGATCAGAATCACATTATGCATATATAAGAGACAATAAAAAAAAAAAAAAGTAACTTGTTTGTGCTCTATCTAAAATATTCCCACATTTATCTTATTCCATAGTCGACAGATACAGGATTGCTGATGCTAGTTCAAGAGATGTGTTACTAATTTAAAAAAGAAGAAAAAAATAATCTGACCTTTTTTTTAGTAACTTACTCATAAAGACAGTTAGTTCCTTAATGATTCAGTGTTTTGAATGAATTAGTTAAATTAGTGATTCAATGACTCACTCAAAAGCAGTCACATGTATAGTTTCTAAATTTAATGTTAATTGACTAATGCTGCATACACGCCATGTCGTAATAATTGTAATTTCGAGATGACAACACATCACGTTCTACTTGGAGCTGTTCACACCCTTGTACTCGGAACTATGGCAATATAAATGCCTAAACATAGCGCCTAATGAATTTAAGGTTGTCAGGTGGGCTACAAGTTCTACGAGGACATGAATGCTTTTTACAAATTGGTATCTCGTAATCACGGTAATTACGATATGGCGTGAACACACCATAACTCGTAAAGACAGTTACTTGTCGCCACCTACTGGTTTAACTATGCAATCTGCTCAATGAGTCATTAAAAAAATCATTCTGAAATGCTCAATCACAGACAATGCTGCCTCCATGTGAGTCTGGGAAACTCATACCTTCGGATTTTTAGGACGTCACACATTTAAGTCGCAAACATGACACCAAATCAAAACAAAATAATGATATAATGAACAATAAACTGAAAAAAAAAGCATTTATGTGCTCAGAACTTGTTAGTAAGACATAACCGACTTGATGGGCACAAAACAGTGAAGTCTCAGTGCTGCCGCTCATCCAGTCAGACAGGTGCAGACTGTTTCTGTAAAACCCATTAACATGATCAGAAATTACATTATAAACGTATCTCAAAATTAGTCCTGTAAAATCATATATTTTAAAACAGAGACTTCTACAGTTAGATTTTTCCCCTGCAGCACATTTCTAAATACTTAAACTGACAGTTTTACATCTTACCTCACGTTACAACACCTCTCTATGACCAAGCAGAAAATAAAACAGATTGTGTGAGAGAGATGTGGTTAGATCTCAAAGTCAGAGGACTGCATTCCAATTATGATATATGTCTGTAGAGATTGCTGTCTGCTGATATAAATTAATATTCCTGGTGGCATGTGAAGCTTCAGACAAACTGTCTGGGCGAGGTGATTTATCACAGATCCTTTCACACACTGTTCTGAAAAGTAGTTCAGAGAAATGGTAAAGTAAAGAAGTTCAGACAAATGAAGAAGACAGAAAAAAGACGCTGAAGAGTCTGTGAGTTGCAGAAAGAAGTGTTTCATGTGGCAAAAAGAGGCAAAGAGAGACGGCGAGAGATAGAGGAAGGTGGATACAGATACTAATAGCTATGTGACTCCCTTGACGGCTCAGTGGTGGTAATCCCTGTTAGTCCACAAACTGATACTGCAAGAATATCTGCGCACACACACACACACACACATAAAGCCTGCATTATGCTTTCTGAAGCAGCTTACATCTGTGTGTGACTGACAGCTCTGGCTCTTCCTGGTTCCCCTATGTTGTCATTTACTTTGGCCATCTAAAGCTCCAGCAGACATCATCCTCCATACAGACCTGGAGATAAACTCATCCCTCTATACTTACACCTCTCTTTCTATAGGCAGCCACATCCCTCTCTGTCTCTACATAGACTTACTCTCTCCAAAACTTCTGGCGAACCGCACAGTATAAGCTCTTTTTCTCACACACTCTTTCACAAGCCAAAACGCTGGTAGATATGGAAGAGAACAGAACTGAGAATGAAGACATATGTACTCTATAGAGAGATATACTGTATAAGTGGTTTCAAAACCAAGCTGCCTACCAAACACAAATCAAGGAGATTTGAAGAATGCTCAAATCCGCTCTTTTTTATACAATCAAAGCATTAATCACACAGTGCTCTTGACTACTTGTTTCTGATTGGTCAGTCGTGGTATTAATATAAACATAAATATTTATGAAAATGTATGATTGCTCAGGACAAAACTTAAAAATCACTCAGAAGAAAAAAGTACCAGTAAGAAACTAATATGGCTGGATGAAAGTTCCTAAAACAGAGAAGTACAAGTAGCTTTCGATTTACAGATTAATAAAAGCATTATGCTAGGCAGATTTTTTATTTATTTCGTTTGAAGCTCTACTTTAAAAAAAAAAAAAACATTTTCAGAATCAGAATGAGCTTTATTGCCAGGTATGTTTACACATACGAGGAATTTGTTTTCGTGACAGAAGCTTCCACAGTGTAACAGAATGACAGTGACAGAACAAAAAACACAGATAATAACAAATAAAAAATAAAAAATGGAAGAAGTAAATAAGGAATAAAAATATACAAATCGACAATTGTATGTACAGGTATATAACAATAGACAGTTGTATGTACAGGTATATTATGTGCAAATTGAAATGTAGACTGAGTATGTGTGTTAGATAAATAAGTGTATGAGTGAATAAATAGTGTGTGTTCCACAGTTATTGTCAAGTGTTCATGAGATGGATTTTTATGCATTTAAAGATGCTTTTATCCAAAGCAACTTACATCTCATGTCTTTTAGTTTGTTTGTTTATGTGGTGAATAATAATAATAATAAAAGTGTTTATTTGGTTAGGGGCCATGATATCAAGATAAAATAAAATAATAAAATAAAATAAAATAAAATAAAATAAAATATAAATATAAATATATATATATATATATATTCCTTTAAACAATCACAGGCACTCCAAACACAAAAGCTATTTTAAAATCTGTTTTTAGCAGGGGAAATTCGATTAATTCATCGTTGTATTTCATTCAATACTGCAAGCATTTGTATGCTTATTAAAATATCAAATTGCTTATTAGCTTAGCAACATGCAACCATAACTTTACTGGAATCAACTGTGAGCATTATCATTTATCAGTTCTCATGAGGAGTGCTAATGATGTGCCTGTGGAATCATTATGAGAATCACTGCCTATGTAGAGCATTTCAAATCACTCATTTATGAGTTTTCATTTAAGTATGGATGCTGTCATAGAAGGTAACTGCCTATGCAGACAACAAGCTTACTCGGTTTTGGAACAGAGCTATAGAAAGAGATATCTTTCTCTGCCACCCACCGTCTATCCAGTAGAGTCTGTACAGAGCATGACACTGAAGCAGACATCCAGATCAGAGCTGAACGTTTGTGCGTCATGTGTCTCTTCCTCATTCTTTTATTCTCTCTTTCATGTGATTATGGCTGATTTTCCTCCCACCCTTGAGATTAAACGCCTCTGTGCCAATAAAAATGTGTAAATGTAAACAAACACACAAAAATAAATGAATGCAAGAGGGCACATGCAAGATCTGGACTGTGCCGACAAAGGACCTTTGCGTTTACAAGTGAAACTTTTAATGGGATTTTGCTTTTCTTGTATGTTGCTGGCCTTTTCTGAGCAGCTACAGCAGAACATATACCCCAGATAGACATTAGACGGTGCTTCACAGCAGTAATCACCTACAATCATATATTCATAGTCAATAAATATAGATTATGCAAAGATGAAGTGCTGTGGGCTTAAAGGCATAAAGGCTATCAAGTTTAGCTGAACATCTGAGACATCCCTTTCCTCTGATACCATACAGCAGGAGCAAAGGTTTTATAGACCTATGCCCCAGATTCTTTAAATATAAACATTTCCCCAAAGATTTTCTTTTGGAAGAGAAAGGCTGGGATCTAAAGACAGCAGAACAAAACGATCAACACTCTGAAGAACAAGGCAAGTGAATCTGACGATTGTGATGTGAATTTGAAAGCTGTGTTTAAATGAT